GCTTATGTTTGGAAGAGTAGACTCATGTAAGTGCTTGATAAAGCATAATTGCTGAACAAAAAAAAAGATCAGATTGCTGCTCCTGAGGATATGAACTCTCAACTCCTCTTACTCCTTTTCCCCATCTTTTCTGCTTTACTTCGCACTCATCGCAGCCTAATGGGAATTGTCATTTATTCAGCACTCATCCTGCTTCAATTTGGGTTGGGAACAATCTTCTTATTGAGTCCACGGTTGGCTTGACTGTTTCAACCTAACTGTGCCAAATTTGGTACTTCGAACAATAAATAGCGCGCCACCAGCGCGCGGTACGATCTTGCTTTTTGCACAGTTTCGACAGCGGACGTTTGCCCTCTAAGGATTTTTGCTGTTTTACATTTTGGTCAATGAAATGATACCATTCGATTACAAAGCTACGAGATTTCTTATAAAAAATTTCACGTACCAGTATGGTGGAAGGCAAACGCACGGGAAAGCTGGGTTTGAAATGACTCCCAGATCTGCTGCTTCCGAGTGACTTTTTGCCAAAATTTTTACTTGATCCTACATGAAATTTCGTTATACTTGTGAGCTAAGTTTGCGCGTGTTAGGCCCCCGCACGAGCAGAAAACATTCTCCTGAAGTTTTCATTCTCACAGCCCTTCTTGCTCCCGAGACAATAATTTCTCCCGCCAAAACTTTCGCGGGGCGTACGTGAAACCCAGGCTTGCGTGAAAGCTGAATTCGGATTTTGCGGGTTTGTATATGGAGAAAGGGCATTTTCTAAAATTTTGAACTCCTAGCTTTTGTGGCTTTCGAGGCAGCAATTTTTCCGCCAAAACTTTTACGGATCGTAAGTGGTGCCCCCCGGCTAACGGGAGGACTGGAATTTAAATTTTGATGCCGCAAATATGCAGACGACATTACTGTAGAATTTCATTCCTACGGTTTTCGTAGTTTCCGAAACAGTAGTTTTTTTCCTCGTAAAAACTTTCCTGGGGTCGTACGTGACATTCAGGCACGCGGGAGGCCTTAAATTAAATTTGCTGGGTTGTATAAAGGCAAGAAACGTCATCTTGACATTTCAGTTTCTCAGCTTTCGTGGTCCCCGAAGTAATAGTTTTCCTCGCCAAAACATTCGTGGGCCCGCGCTTAGCACCCCGGGGTGCACGAAGACTAAATTTAAATTCTGCGGGTCGCAATATTTTACTAAAATATCAGCATCTTGGATTCTCTAGTTTCCGAGTTAAAACCCGTGGATAAAATACACTGGAATACGCTCACAAGCACACAAGCACACACGCATACAAGTACACACTCACGCAAACACACACATATAAAGACACACACAGATACACATACAAACATACGCATACAAACACACACGTAGACAGGGTTTCAACAGTGTGCGTTTTGTGCAACTGTTGTAGCACAAAACGCATAAACTATACTGAAAAAGGCTGGAAGACACAAACTATACCAAAAATTGCTTAATTAAATAAATTTGGAAAAATATAGTATGACAGGTGTAAGCACCAATGGGGCGATCGCCGAAAAGGTGACCCACATATAAAGAAAAAGCGGTTGGCATTAATCAAAGAAGTGCATTCTAGGATCGAAGGGACGGGCATAGCTAAACGTCGCGTGTGGGAGCATTCTAGTAATAATAGAGGAATCTCATAGAGGAATCTCAAACTGATGGACCGAGTACTTTTGTTATTCTTGGTGTGAGGGGAGGGTCCGGTTTTTCTAGAGCAAATGCAGTTGGAAAAGATATGTGCTAGATTACTGAGTGAACCCAAATTTGTAAACGCCTTAGTTTTTTTTAACGGTGTTGCTTAAGTTATTGGCGGAACTGGCGCTAGTGAATGGCTGCATCCTCATCCCGCCTAATCTCGTATTACTGTTGCTCGAGCACTTATCAAGTGATCAACTTTTTCACGGACGACAGTTCGTGTTTTACGCACATGATGTAAAATAGAATCTGTTGCAGACGGTCATCCATATAAACTGCGGAAGTGGAGGATACCCGGGTCGAACATGTGCGATCCGAGCTCAATTTCATCCGGCATAACCAGGTTTACGCCAACCGTCTACATACCTTCATCGAGTGTCGCGACGTTGACGCCTTCTCCGAGTGCCCATTTGTGCTGTCCCAGACTTCTTGCATTTTTAAGCCTTTTTCTTTTATCAATGCCAAACAAAATGTATTACTTGTGCTTTTAATAAAACCACAGTTGCTCATTTAATTTTTATTCATTTTTTATACTCGGTGAATTTTGAGAGAACTGTTTCCCCAGATTTTGCGTTCACGCACGATTCTCAGATGCTGT